TGAATTGTCTTATTCAGCGAATTTGCTGTGGGCTGGATCATAAATGGTGGTTGCTGCCAAATGCCAAAAGAAAATTGTTGACCACTTGCAAACACCAGTACATGCAATGCCACCCCTCTGAGAGCCGAGGAGATGGTACCCTTCTGAGTTGGTGCCATGCAAAGTTATGAGGGACGTACCATCTCTTATGCTCTTGGCAGGGTTGTTTTGTTTGGTGTGTTTTCCACCTTATACATGTCATTCATTGATGGGTTATCTTTATGTTAAAGCACATTGTGAACTGACATTCTGTATTCACTTTCCCACTTATTTTCCCATTATTCAAATTGGCTGTGCAGTTCAAATATTAAAAGTAACCCTTCATTGCTTTCAGCAGTTCCAGATAACTACAACAATAAAACATACACGCGCTTAGGAACACGAACATTGCCATGTGTCACAAATTATAGTACCTGGATATTTAGCTTTTGCTGACTGTTACTAATTTGGCAACACATACCTCTTCTCCACTGGCATATCCGAGCCGCGCTAGCACGGGTCTCTCATTTGCAGGTGGTTTTCCACTGGCAGTTTGCCAAGCTGCTCCAAGCTTGGCAAACTCTGGCTTTGCAAAGTCATCTCTGAATCTGGCTTTGGGCCGTGCTTGGTCGGAGATGGGGTGAATCATTTTCGTCATGAGCATGACCGACGGTGGCATGGCTCGTGTTCTACCGTGGATAAACAACTCGGCGCCTCCTGAGCCAAGCCGGCCCAGGACGGACGCGGAACGGCTCTGATGTGCCCAGTGTAAAAGTGCTCACGGATTGTGAATTGACAACCTGCAAATGACCTTGAAATCGGAAGTCGTGGTAAGACCAGCTGTGTTGCTTTGGTCTTTTCCCGTTGCCTGTTACAACAACTCCACATTTAATTTATTGCCCAGAGAGAGCCTGTTGATGTGTTAATAAATTCTCCTTTGCAAGGCAGTCATTGTTATTACTGAAGTTTTGTTAAAGCAAGGTAAATTTGGGCAAACATTACCACAGAGTCGATACTGTCGAGTGACGTATTGTGGTAGTACTTTAAATCGCTATTTAGATGCCATTATGACATAAGACATTTACACACACACAACATTCGGATACAATGACATCAGCGTGCAGTACTAATGATATGAAAATCTAAAAATCCCACAAAAAATCCAGACATGAAAAATCTTTAAATATGAAACTTTCCGAATAGATGTGCACATGAGGGGACACTTCATTAAGAGATCATCTTGTGTTGTCGTGTGCCGTTGGATGCAATCTTTTCCATCGGAGCAGCGATGTTGGAGCAGTAAATTTTCCATCGCCCGGGCAGAGTTTGCACCCATCATCCCGTTCCACAGTCATCGAGATGCTTGCAAAGCAAACAGACGTTGTGCTGACAGCTCAGCCAGCCCCGTGTATTTCAGTGCCACCTGTTTCTTGGTCCGTGAAATTGAAAACCGTGGTCCGAGTGCTCCACCGAAATGCTGACATGATAATAATAACAACGACAACAACAAACACAACGGTGTAATTTCATCAGTATGTCTTCTAGAGCTTAACTCTGAACTGATGTGTAATTATTGTAGTACACAATTTACCTCTCTTTTTTTTGCTTATTGGCAATAGTAATATCTGAATAAATTGGGTTTCTCTTGCAAAGGAGATAATGAACCACAGGGAGCTCTCACTTTGTTAAACAAACCACAGCGACTTGGAACGTGCCCATTGCACGCTCTCAAGTAGAAGGACGTGACCTGGCAACGTCCCCAGACAACACTGTGCATCACAGCGCCGTATTGTGCCACTTCGATCTCAGGATGCTCAAACGTACTAACACGCATAGGCTGTGACAAAGACGAAGGATCCCCCGTGTAGCTTCCTTGGGCAAGCACCACGCGCTGGCCACCCCTCTTGTCTGTCCAGTGCCGGTCTTTACACACCACATTAGATACTAATTTTAGGCTGAGTTTACCTATTTTGGGGGGGGGGGAGCGTGGGGGTAGGGGCAGGAAAGAGGCCCGTGATCGGTTCGGGTTAATTGCCGCTGACGTTAGCCACGGTCGGGGATCGAACTCAGTTTTCCAGGATCGTAGCGCAGTGCAATAACCACCAAACTATCGCTCCCCATACACACATCAACAGCCGCCAATCATCACAGCAACAGTGACATCGCAACAGCACCTGTGCCAGGCTAGGTGCACTTTGAGGCTATCGCATAAAGTGTCCAAGGGCCCGCTGGTAAGGAGGTCCGGGACAGACTCGGGTGTTGAGAGTTAACCGACTCTTGACTTAAGCTGACTGGCGCACAACACAAACACACACATGCAGACACACGCGCGCATGCTCACGTACACACACAAACAAGCACATGAAACGGCTGCCGCCACCACCACCGACCAATCTCAGCTGTGCCCCGTTGAAAGTGTTGTTGTCCGTTGACATGTCGGCGCGCGCTGATTTTGTGATGGTCTTGTGTGCTTCCAGGTTTGACGGACTGTGACTTCCGTTGCGCCATTTTGCGCCATTAACGATGTGTTGCCGTTATGTCGGTTGCGTGTGTCAGAAAGACGGCCGGTCTTCCTGCACGGCTGACCCCGTTAGGCTAACACCGCAGGGGGCTTCCAGCAGGTCGAAGCTTTTTCATTTACCCTCTTCATGTCCGATCCACCCTCGCGAGCCCGGCCGCCCTGTACCGAACAAACAGAGCCATAGCACACGACACAAATTAATAATTGCGCGTCGTTGTGAATGACGACGAGATGAGTATCGCCTCCTTTCCATTTTTGTATCTACTGCCCCCCTCCCCCCCACAGCTCTAGCGGTAGAGCGAGCGGCTCGCAGTTGACTCGGCCCCCATCATCCCTCCAGGATCGGTCAAAAATAAGTACCACTTTGTGGGAAAGTTGGCAGTGGCTGTTGTACGGTTGGACTCACCCCTACCACAGGAATTTGGGATTCCCACCACTGGCTCACGGCTTTAAATGAGGGATGGATAACCATCCTATTGGTCATTTGAGCAGGGAATCACTTTAGACGTTCATAATCAAGGTTTTTGGGTTAGATAGCGTTATTTATGAATGTGTCACAACCCTCCACCACCCGACACGGCTAACCAGTAAAAAATGTGTCACGTTGACATGAGACAAATAGTTCACTACATTAGCCCACCGATGTGTTGAAGAGTGGATCCACAACATTTACAATTTTAGTACGACGTTTCGCTGGAAATTACATCCAGCATCTTCGGGCGATTTGCCATAATTTTCTGCCAGATCTGCTCTTCAACACACCGGTGGGCTAAAGTAGTGAACTATTTGTCTTTTGTCAAGGTGACACATTTTTTACTGATTGGCCGTGTCGGGTGGTGGAGGGTTGCGACATAAATAATGCGCTCTAACCCAAAAACCTTTATTATGAATTATTCTGGTTGTGAAAGCAACTTAGACTTTGACTTAAAAAATTGAGGTTTTTTTTTACACCACCAATTGTGGTTGCACAGCCTTCTGAAAGCGTACTCTCTCAGTAGGCCGTGTGGTCGATGGGATAGGAAAAAAATGCTTTCAATTTTGTGTGGAGAGACAAATCTGGCAAGGAGGCGTTATTTATTTTAGAACCATGGTAGTTAGCCTGGAGAACAGTCTTAGCGTTGCATACATGTGTGTTTAAATGCAAACAGAGTGACTCGTGCAAATGTAATCACTTCGTTTCAATTGTATTAAGTATGCTGATAGTTGTAATAATTTAATTTGTTTTTGCAGATGCTTTCCACATTTAGTTGAATGCTATATTAATGCATTTTGTTACTGTTGTTAAACTCTTGTGAATTCTACGCAAAACACTTGCAATCATGGATCACAGTTTTAATTGTTATACAAATGTGGCTTGACATCGCTTTCAGTGGTTTTTTAAACGTTTCCAATTTTCTTTCTTTTTTTTCTTGACCTGGTTCCCTGTTCTTTCCATGCCTCCTCTCTCGACTACCGCCCCATACAATAATCTAGGACATTCATAACAATATATCCCATTTCTATTGGAGTCATGTTCTGGAAAAGTAACTTCTACTTCAATGTATCATGGATAGAACAGTCTCACCCCAATGTTAGGAAATAGCTTTTGAAGATCACGTGACAGATCCTCCATCTGATGTCACTGCAGTAGGCCAATATCACCCCAAAAACTTGAAAGCAGTCTTTCACGCTCTGTAAATAATGCACGTTGAATGGCATCTTTCTGATATATTTCGAGCAATTTTAAGTCCTCATTTGTGCGATTTATATTTTTGAGCAGGTTGAGCCGTATACGAACTTGCTACACACGGGAACCTGGTTTAAATATGCGAGGCTCTCTGCATTCAAATGCAGAATCCTCAGCAGTGCCGGCTCATTTATCTGACATGGCCATTATGAGGACACTGAGGCACTCTGCTCAAAAGTGTCACCACCCTCTACAACCACAGGACAAAAACGGGCAGATTCAAATATAGGCAGATGTTCCTGTTTTCCAGATTTATGGTTTAAATGTGACCCAACATCCCAACCCCCAGCAATGGTGCAAATCGCCACAGTGATAGTTTTTTTGCAGCTCTATTAGGACACAGGGCATGTGGAAGGACTGTACTCAGGAATTCTCATCATTCACTCTAGAAGCTGGGTTGTTCAGGAACTCTGAATGAAGTTCTCGGCACGTGGAGCGACATGATTTCCCACGTTACATAGAGTACCATAGACACCAGGGCTCAGACTCCTATTAGAACAAAGGTCATGAGATTGGTTCATAGAGACACATGTCTTTGGGGATTAGGGTAGAAGCAACCATTGTATTAACCACAATGCCTTACTGATCTCGTCAAGGAGAGCATAAACCATCACGCAAACTCTGGTCATCCTTGCAGTGGCCTTTGGCTAACCATTGAACAAAGACGGTCACTGCATCGCGAGCTTTCAGATGCGCTTCTGCGGCCGTCTGGAACGCTCTTCCGATATTAGAGAGCCACTGGAGCTGTGCACTTTTAAATAGTCTAGATTGAAAACTAATTTCTTTAGAATTGTTTTTTGTGTTTAATTTGTTATCCTTCACCTCCGTGGAGCATGGTTGGCTATGTACGGTGCCCCGAGGTATATTCTGCACATGTTTTTGAGCGCTGAGCCGGCACTGTTGATTAACCTCTTTCATTCTTCTGTTCCCACCTGAAATTAAGTGAATCTCATACACCACCATTCTAGGATTCTTTCCACAGTTTTCAGCATCAGTAATACCTATAGCCCTAAGCAAAACAGGCATGGCTCAATTGGCATACCCTGATGATTTTTAATGCATATATACACCTCCCCTATCCTGGAAATTACATTAATTGTCTCAATTTAGGATCACGATTTGGTGAATGAAATTATTGATTACATATTTATTCATTATTGATTTCTGAGGTAGGGCCACGTAATGTTATGTGGTCACATTTTTCTTGTTGTGTAACCCTCCCCCACCAGACATGGCCAAACAAATTAAATTGTCACGTGTACAGGCGGTTAACGTGCCAATGATTGTTGTTTCGGCTCACCGCGGGTAAGTTGAAGAACAATTCTCACCACAAAATTTATCAGCCAGACATTATTTTTTTAACACTGCACGTGGTGAATGTCGCGGTCTTTTGGCATTGGTAGGGGTTACACGAACCCATTACATGCAGCAATATATATACTAGTTTAAAAAAAACATTGATTCTTACATGCACCATTCACTGCATGCATGGCGAGCTTTTTAAGAATGATTCTTCATTGATAACAACTTAACACTTTCGTCAGTGACACTGCCTTAAAGTGGACAAATATATAAAATAATCAAGGTTATTGGCAGTGGTCCCTTCGTCTTCATAATAAGAGGGATCAAGGGCTCGGAGGTTTAGACCTATTATTTAGAGATGTATATAAAAAAAATCCCTTTAGGGGCAGTTTCATTGATGATTGTATTGAGTTTGTTTTTTGTGCTCATGCACCGGTGCCAATGCAGATATAATTATTATTAAGTGATAAATCGAACTGCCGTTATTCCCGTATTGACCCACGTTTTCATGCGTCTGGAGTGAAATGCAAGTTAGTCATAAAACCACTGACATGGGAATACCGTAAACAAGGCTGCTCTGGTGACTGCACATTGCCATTAGCTGAACATTTTACGTTCCCATTGGCAACAATGTGTAACCAAATTTTTATTTAAAGCTTTCGTGACTGCAGGGATTCATATTCTTGGTTCTTTCGGTAAAGTCACGTAGAAGGGAAACAATAAAATAATACAATTTTAAATCAATACATTTCTCCCGACGTTTCGACTGCAACACAAGCAATCGTCATCAGGTGTGAAAACCACAGCAAGAAAATTAGAAATTTTCTTGCTGTGATGATTGGCTTGTGTTGCAGTCGAAACGTCGTGAGATTTTTTTAATTTTATATTTTATTATTTTATTGTTTCCCTTCTACGTGACATTACCGAAAGAACCAAGAATGTGTAACCATCTTGTTATTTTTATACTTCGTGTAATCAGTGCAAGTCTCGCTTCATGGAGAATGGGGGGAGCTGTGATTGATTCGAAAAGCCTAACCAATTGTTCGTCTTCACAGCAGGTAGAGATATTGAATTTGTGGACTCAACATTTTGTTCAGTGTTCTTGTAGCTAGCGATGGTTATACATGTGTTTTACATTTGAATAGCTCCAAAGGAAAATGACAATAAAGCACGTCTTTTGTTATCTGGAGAAAATTAACCATCACCTTACTGAGAAATGTGCAACTGCACGTCACCAGGGAGATGCACCCCACGTGTACAGGTCAGATAGTCTCTTTAACCCCCTGATGTATTTTTGAGTTGTAATAACGTAAAAGCTTGCATTCGTATTGCATCCGTAACGTAACAAAATGTCTCAGGAGCAATTTTATTTTCATGGTTTTCCCCTCGGGGACACCCTAATGGCAGCTTGTCCTCCCATACAGCACAAGGTGCACACAGCCACCAACCTGCAAGTTGGGCATTATTCTACCAGCAGGGTGGCGAATGTTGTAATTGGTCATTCAAATGAAGTGATTAGTGAGTAAAACGAATTTTTACTTGGACCATGACACTGGCACGCATGATCTCTACCCTGTGCTGCGTCTTGTGTGGTGTGGTGTCCCCAACATTTCGCTCCACGTGCCGGGAGCTTTTTCAGTAACTGAAAACGCATCGGAGACCTATACAGCCCTACCAGCCTCTATTAATTAGCTTGTCATTTGGGTATCAAAAATTTACACTTGTCTCCGACTGGTTGACATGAGATAGCTGTGGCGTTTACCATCCACACGGTAAGCCATTTTTGATTAGCATCATGAGGTTTAAAAAAAATATGAACACGAGCGTTCGTCTGTATCGTACAAAACACTACAATCTGTTCCCGTCACGAATTAACCATGCGGCTATATAAACGAACACAGGAGGGAGAAGATTGGCTCGGCCAATCGCTCACAAGAACGCTCAATAATTATCGACCAATGCTCTGCGCTCACAGTTGAGCAACGAGTGCTCGCATGTGATTGGTTCTTTCAGTTGGCCAAATCGGGAAAGCTTATGATTGACTGAGCCACAAATAATTGCACGCAATTGGCTGAGTACCCCTGTGTCCTGAAGGCACCCCTCGTTTTTCAACTCTTTTTGAGTTGGTTTGTCCAAACGATGATACGGCCGCAGATTGGGCTGCCTTTTGAACTGGTGGTCTCGACAAGGCTGACAGCTTTGTACATGCAATGTGATGGTCACGTGACGTGTATACAAGGCATATGGATTGAATTCGTGCTTTCCTGCTGTTGGCGAGCAGCAGCACCACACCTTTGCGTGCTGTATTTATTTCCAGCCCGCACCCATTCTCCTGGGTTGATGGGTTTTCTCATTATTTACAGAACCCCTGTGTTCAATCAACCCCTTGGTTCAATCCGTGCAGAATGGCCTAACTCCTCCCGAACTTCCATGCGCTATTTTCAGTCTTGTGGCCAGCGATCCGCTGTTCATTAGCCTCTTTCATATTGCGATGTGACTTCTCAACGGGCTGAGCCATAAGCTCCACTGATGCAAACGGCATAGAGTCAAAGTGAAAAATTATTTCCTGATCCAGTGAGCATTGAGGCAGTGCCCGTCTCCTGTTTACAGCCCTGAATCACTGCTGAAAATGCCACTGTCCTTTGGGAGGTGCAAGTTTACCCACAGGAAAACCCACTGTTAACTCCCCTCACTTGGGTGGTGCTTATTTTATCGACCCGGGAAGGAATGATGGACTGAGTCAAACCCCAACCAGGATTCCAAATCGCAGCCTTCTGATTTTGAGCCGCTCGCTCTACCGCTGAACGACTTGGCCGCCGAATATAATATCGCATGCGGTTTCATTAATCATGGTTCCACGCATTCGGTGTAATTTTCCGGTTAACTATAATTGGAAGTTTAATTAAATTTAACGTAACTAAAGCTTTAAGACAACGACCACAATTTTTCCCTCCCCTGCAATTTTCAAAGAGGTTAAAGTTGGTGCGTTCTGATGAGGCATTTTTTTCTCTCTCTCTCCCTCGCCGTCTTTCATTGGCTAATGGGGGCGTTCTTTTGTGTTTTACATTTTTCCCAAGTATTCGGAAGCAGCTCCTAAAACAAAGGCGATAACTCTTGGATAAGCTCCACGATAACCTTTTCCACTGCTCTGTTGAATGCTTAAGCAAAAAGAAGTTGTGTTTAAAATATATATGGTGGAATTCAATCTGTCATTGCTTACTTTAAACATTACTCTTTTACACGTGGGCGCACATCCATGACATCGACACCACGCGTTTAGGTCCCCAGAGCCCGGAGGACATTTTCACAATTCTGGCCACTGCTGATGATGGTTGTGGCTGCCGAGCGAAACGGCGTGCCAAATTTTTAAACGTGTGTGGATTGCTCTCCCAACATACCAGTGTGCGGAAGAGGTAATGGGCACATCCGTTCGCGTGAACACGTTGTTAATTGGACGTGTCGGGTGGAGGAGGGTATACGACACATTTTACTCGTGCGATCCGACCCAGAAATCAATTATGGCTCGTCACTATTCCGTCCGCTTGATTCCGCATTTGATTATATTATCAATGTTGCCCTCATTTTTTCACGCGGCGCTTTAGAGACGAGGTATTAATCTCAGGTCTCGCACCCATTAAGATATTCCGCGCACAGTTATGTATTTTATGCTCTATTTCATTGTTGAAAACGTGCATGCTTATTGCAAATTGAGTAATTACTATATTTTAATCTGTCAAATAAAACATCTATTTATAGAGTGCATGTAAAATGTACGTGGCATCTAAATGATGACAATATGAACTATAAAAATATACAGCAACATGTAATATTATTTTCCCAAACATTGTCTTACATATTTAAATGTGGCTGTGTAAATAGAAAATGTAATTGTAAATTTTAATAGGCTAATAAATGTGTTAAATCTTATTTATGTTAGTCTGTACATGTGTATGAATTTGTACAGCTTGTAACGTGTGCTGTATTGACTCGATACAAAAACATGCACGTATTTAGATATCTGCAAAACTTAGGTTTACATTACATATAATGTACATAGTAACATATATATGCTTGCGATATACAGTATTATGCATAGATGTATCATGAATCCTCTACCTATACCAGGTGCAGGCGCTCTTTTCGTACATCAATATTTGAACCGGTTCCAGCAGCTTGTCTGAACCCCGGGCCGTAGCCTGCACTCTGCGAGAAACCCAAAACAATCAAATCGCACACCCATCTTTTGGGTGCTCGGTCACGTTCTCCGACTTGAGGGGGCAGCCGTCAAATGGGGGCCGCTGGTATATTGGTGCCAGGTTTACAACGCGCAAGCTCCGAGCGGTGCCGCCCTTTGCAGCAACACTTCCCCGCTGGGCCTCAATAACCATAATCGTTTCCGCGGTCGGACCATTGGCTGATCCGAATAAATGAGAATGCTTTCTTTTTGAGGCGGTAACAAATATCGTTGTCATCGTGAAGCAAAACTGGCCGTTGAGAGTGATAGCCAGCCGGTCAAGCGAGCGCAATTTAAAGGTTGCAAAGCGCAAATTAATGCTTGGGGGTTGACTCGGCCTAGCATCCCTCCGGGGTTGGTAAAGTGAGTTACCATTTTTTCTGGGGACTCAGCGGTGGTTTTCCTATGGAAAGACTCAGCCCCTACCATAGGACAGTGGAATTTCCGTCACCCGCTTGGGGCTATAAACAGGAAATGGGGCACTGCATTGACGCTCACTTGAGCAGGAAATTACTACGGACTTTTTTTGAATAACGTAAATCGTACAACTTTTTTGTCTGATTTAGCCACGTTTATCACATCTATTCCTCACAGACCTGACAACAGAGTACCGCAGTTCAAGCGTTGTGCATCGTGAAAGCTATTGCTTGGAAAATATTTATCCTATACATCTGCCCGTATGTATGCCTGGCACCAACCGTGGAGGGGAAAGAGAGACGCGTTTGAGCAGATTGCGAGAATGATCGGCAGGTGTTGGAGCAGCTAAAGGTTAACCGTTGTCATTTCTCTCCCTTTTCAACATGTTCGTCACAGTACTACGCCCTGCAAATATTGGAGAACGTCATAAAGACACGCTGGAAAATCCTGCCGAGGAACCAGTGCGATGGTAAGCTTCTCTCACACGCAGTCCCTTGCCTGACCTGCGTACGAATGCAAGAACGTGACGCAACAATCCCTCGCCAACCGCGGGGGTTAGGTTCCTGAAAACCACCCATTGTTGGAAAAAACCGCCGTTGTGTTAGGGCAACCGCGGCCATGGCCACACTCGTCAAAGCCTAACTAAGTTGCCCCTTCCCTTCCTACGCCGAGCACAAATAAAATACACAATAACATGATAAAAAATTTATTTTTAAAAAACGTAATTAAAAGCAATAAAATCATGTTATTTACCGAGGGTTTAAAGTCCGTGGTGAGCACGACGTGGGAATGAGGTGGATGCAAGGAGGTGGCTGTTGGAAGAGGGGGCTTTACCTCCACCTGGCGGTGGGAAAAGAGCGGTGGCGTGAGCTGGGAGATGAGACGACGCACGGGGTGGGGGAACAGATTGTGGGGTGATTTGAAATCACAAGCGCCGGTCGTCGTGCTAAACTGGAACCTCATACCGCGGTGAGAAAATTGGTATGCCAAAAGAAAACCGTTGACGCATGAATACCACTGTATTTTACAAAAAAACCTCGAGCATATGCAACAAAACCACAAGTGAAATCATTCTTTGGCTCCTAAACCTTGATATTCAATTCTAGATTTGAGGCTTTCGTGACTGCAAGGATTCATACTCTTTGTTTTTTTTCGGTAAAGTCACGTAGGTAAAATAAAAATAAAATAAATGAAAACAACTCAATTAAATCACGACGTTTCGGAGGCAACACAAGCTTCCGTCTTCATTGATTTAATTTAGTTATTTTTTCATTTTTTTATTTTACCTACGTGACTTTACTTGATATTCAAGTTTTTATTTTCACACAGAATCTAGCCATATACCAAGAAAAGAATTACAAATACAAAAACGACTCGGTACAGTGTGTATGTGGTGTCGTGTGTCGCATTGTATTTTCACCATTGAGGTGGGTTGATGCTGTCCGAGAATGAAAAAAAAAACCTCAATACAAAAATAGAGTGAGAAGAAGCAAAAGAGACAAAAACGGAGTGTAAAAGAGAGAGAGAGAGAGACAAACAGGCCGAGAAAGCGAGAGAGACGGTTACATGCAGCTGCACGTAGCTACACACACACACGCACGCTGCTCCACTTCGGAATTCCCAACCCTATCATCTCCTTTTCCAAGCTCTTAAAAGAACCTTGCTCAATCCAAGAACTGCATAGACTCTTTTAATCTATTGAAATTTTACCAGATCGCTTTTTGTTTGTTTCTGGCCGCTTGACATTTTGGAGCGTTAAAGTAAATTTCTCAGCTCTGCACTCCCCATACCCCCCCGGCTAAATCTGGACACTTGGTAGTTCTGGGACTGGTTCTCAACCGGGGGTTTCGCGGCAATGTCCCAGGGGGAAGGGTACATGAGGGTGATTTATAAATGTGTGAAATTGTCATCCGGAATAGTTATTAGTCAATAATGGCATGAATCTGCTAATGTAGAATAACTAGGATACAATTTAAATCCATATGGTAGCCTAGAACGATATTAAAAGACCTTTAGAAATCTATTGATCGTAAAAATGTGGTTTCCAAGGGTAAACGGTGCACGTGAACAAATTACATCTTTATAACACCTAGGCTTTCGCGATCAATATCCATAATAGAGGGGTTTTTTTTTGGGTTGGATCGTGTAATTATAAATTACGTCACGCATGCAGAGCGTCCGTTGAATATACTTTTGTGTTCGGCTCGCTGTTACTAGCTAGTTAGGATACCGCACAAAATGAACAATTGGTTCAAATATTAGTGTTTATTCATACATTTATTTATCAGAACCATGTTGGGTCAAGGGGGGGGGAGGGGCGCACACAGTGGCCAAACGAAAGGTTGAGGATCACTGGTCTCGGATAATTATTGTGCGTGGGGCCGCTCGGTGTAATCGGGTTCGGCACCACCCACCTCGCTCCGGCAGATCGGGACGTTGGAGTGCTCGTGTCTGGGCACGGAGCGAGAATAATGATGGCCCCTGGCGCAGCTGCCAGGCCGAGCGACTCGTGGGGTGACGAGAGCTCTTTGGAACGCACTCCAAAGCCGTTTTTTTTTTCTTTCACCAAGTGGCGCTCGCTTCTTCATACCTGCCCTTTTGTAGTTGCACGCTCTTCGGGGAGAGTCTGTTGATGTAATCGCACGCGAGCGTCCGGTGTTCATGTTTTCTTGTTTGTGTTTTTTTTATTTGTCGGGAGCGCGTGTGCATGCCTGCCAAGTTCGATTCCCGCTCACGACCAAAAAAACAGTGACGGTTATCTAAACAGGTCCTGGGCCTCCCCTCGGTCGACTCAGTCTCATATGAGTACCTGATGCGCTGTGTAAACATCGCCGCTAGAGAGACAAAGGTGGTCGGGCGTGGTGCTGGCTACCCACCCCATCGTGTGCCGTGTTGCCCTTCATGTTGGCCTTCGTAAGTGCTCGCTAACAGCACTTTCGCAAAAAGCCCAACAAGGCTTTAAGGGGAATATTTGTCTGGGTATGGGTCCTGTATTTCCACTTGGGTTATAATCAGTACACATCGCATCCAGCAGTGGATCATGCATCCGTAGATGTACACATCAGAAAGTACGAGTTGGCTAAAAAGTTAAAATAGCCGTTTGGCCGGCAGACATTTTTGTTCCATTTGTAAACACTATCCTCAGGCTTCACGCGAGTAGCAGTTATAAATAAGCCAAAGATGATTACACAGTTGCCACTATGTGGCAACCCAGATGTTTTGAGTAATAGCGAGTCCAAATTCCATGGCACACCATGAGACAAATAACAGTGGAGGGTAATAGTTGTGACATCACCAGGCTGATAAGAAACGTAAAGTGTGCTTGGGCAGGACGCATCGTCGCTACAAGGGCAAATGATGGCTGATGGTCAGAAATAACATTGCTGGCACGACCGCTGGGGAGATGGAGCGATACAATCTCAGTTCACATGCAAAGTGCTAGACGAAATTGTAACATCGCAGCATATTGAGGCTTAGGAAGGCCTTCATTCAGCAGCGGATTGACCAAGGCTTTTGATGTACACGTTTTGCCCATTTGTTAATCTACTGCTGGGTCCAAGGCCTTCCCATGCCGTGCTGGCCGTGAAGGATATTTCACCATACTTCACCACTCTGGCCATTGCCGGTTGCTGAAAGTACTGGGGCAGTGGGGGTGGGTTGGGGGGGGTGGACGGAGTACAACAATGGATTTTGCGGAGCTGCCAAATACGCATGAGCTTCAACAAAAACTACAAAAACAAGTATATTAGAGGACGAAATTAAAGTTTATTTATTGGAAGCGAAAACAAGTTGGTCTTTCAATAGACGTTGTTAACGTCATTATTTTCCATTGGCTTTTAATGCTGGTGCGTTTTACGTGCGTTTGCTCGAATGCCTGCCTGCGTCTTTGTGTGACTCAACCCCCTGTGAATGTGTGGCATGCCCCTTATAAAAAAAAAAACACTTCAAAGCTAATATTACTACCTTCCAGGATTTTTGCCCTGCAGGCAAAACTTTGTTCTCTCTCCAGGTTACTAATGATCTGGGGGATCACCTTACCACGGCTCCAAAGCAAGAGCATCTATTGCTCAAGGGCTGCTAATGTCCAACCAACTATGGAGTGCAAACGGTGTAAAATTTGTGGCAGTGTTTGACGGGGACGATCACTGACAAATAAAACAACCTTTCTCAAGGCACTGTTTAAAAAGCACAGGTTGGTTACACTCTAAGTGCCATGATTAAGCTGCCTACACGCAATAATTAGATTTGCCTTGAAATAGGTCCTCCGTTGTTTAGACCGAGAGCTCTTGCCAATCAATAATATCTGGTAAACCCGGCAGCGTTTGATTGACATGCCTTCCGGGCAAATGTTGTTGAAGTTATTGGGAAAACGTTTCCCAAATTAAAATTTTCAGGATTCAACATTTTTATGTAAAAAAAAACTATTAAAATTTGGTATTCCCAGAGTCCTCAATCTCGTGTTTCATGCGTTCAGAGAAATGAGACAAATAAGACGTTTGCAATTAATGTAGCATTTAATCCGATATTTATATCAGGAATATATCTTTAACAATCAAAACTCGCTAATGGAAGTGAAAGCACGTAACGTGTGTTGCAGTGTATTTTTTTCCATGTTGCACGGTCTGGCTTGTTCCCACGTGCTTATTCCTGAAGTGCATGGCCACAGCTGAACCTGCCTTAATTTGTGATGCACAAGTGCCCCCTGGTGGTGTTCAGCTGTACACTGGCCCAGCCAACACGAGTCTTCGGCACCAGTGTCGTTACTACAGTAGACGCGATTATCCGCGCTAATGACGGGAGGACGGCCGCGGATAATCCAAAACTATTAATTTTCCGTGGATATCCATGCCAAAACCACTAATATAGGTATAAATTAATAACGAATACTCACGATCGATGCGCGTGCTCAATGATAACACTTTCCTTCGCCCGCACAGAAGACTCGGCCCACTAAGTGGACAGCAGAACCACGCCAATCAACATCAATCAAACTACGCACACTGTTATAAAGCTATGCAACTACCGTACTGTAGAGGCGAATCATGTGGATATCGGATCAACCTGAGCAACATATTTGTTCGATTTAAGCACGTGACTTGTAGTAAACATTTCCAAGAATAACAATGTACAACCGTTTTTAGATTATTTATTTGGGGCTTAAGGGAAATCCATGAATTATTCATTTATGTAAAAAAAGCAAATTGGATAAGCCGTAGGTATAAAATAAAATAAATCACGACGTTTCGGGCGCAACACAAGCGTCCCGCCTGATGACGGACGCTTGTGTTGCGCCCGAAACGTCGTGATTTATTTTATTTTCTAGCTACGTCACTTTACCGAAAGAACCAAAGAGTATGGATTCCTGCAGTCACGAACACTTCAAATCAAGATTGAATAAACCGCACGCGGATAATCGAGAGTGGACTGTACTAGGCTTGTTTAAAGTCGTTACTCGTCGCATACCCGGTCACCAGTGTAGGAATGTCTCGCAGTGAACAAAACAGTTTTCAGAACAAAACAAATGGAAATGTGGTTAAAACGGAGACTAACGTTGTTGCCTGTTGCTGTGTTGCAGGAATAAAAAAGTACGTTGTGGGCCTGGTGATTAAAACGTCTCAAGAACCAATCAATCTCGAGGTTGGTCGGTCGTCTTATATATTTTTTCAGATAAGAGTTGAAAGCACTGTGGTTGCAACTACTAAAGCTCTAATGAGTAGGTGTATAATTAGCAAAAGTTTGCTTGGAGTTAGTATTTTGATTAGTTTCTTTCACTGGTGTATACAATGGGTCTGAAATTTGTACGATGTTAGACTTTGTAGTGTTGGTTTGTAACTTTTAATCACATTTAAAAATCATCGCATTGAGTTTATTGCTGCATGTGACGTTGAAAAAGCCATTTTGTGGCAACGGTGTTTGCCAATTGGATTTCATATTGTGTCTCCTGCAAAAGCAGGAGACACAATTGTAGGGCAACGATTGATGCTCGTTACAATTAGGCTCACATACAGACTCACAAATAAACCCATACAATGTGATGTCGTTCATCACCTTGCAGGGATTTTTTTTTGTTTTAAATGGTAACCAATGTGCCAATCATAGAATTTACAATCAGCCACTTAACTGGGTCAATTAATGGCCCAATATGTAGCAGCCTGTGTCGCCCTGTGTAAATTAAACTCCATCTGCTGCATGCTTTTCCCGGTTGACCCAATTAACGGATGCCCGCTATTTAGCAGTCCCCAGATGTTGCCGTAGATTAATCATCACAAGCCAGACAGGTGGCCACCAATTAACGGTGCAGATATGTATAGCGGGCACGTGCTAGCAGTGTGATAGATGGTGTGCATTGCTTTGAAATCGTTTTTTTTTATGAAAGCGTTGTAACTCGGGTTAATAATGTTAAAAGCGTTTTTTACTCATTAAAGTACGTCTGATAACGCCATAACCATTTACAAATCTGCAAACGCGTTTTGCTCTGACAGCTACCCCATCAGCTTCCATACTGCCAATTCGAGTCAAACTCATGTTGGAACAGACGATATAATCCACGTGTAATATGTGATTTTTTTTCCCCAACTTGCTGAATTCTCATGGCACTTGTCCTATACTATACAATACATTACATCAATTCATTGGTGCTGCTTTTTGGACTGGACGCCAATAAGTAGAGCACTTTGGAGGTGATATCCGTAATGTGATTGCTACAGTTGCCGTGAAATTGTGTGGTTGTCTGTGCTCTGTTATAGAAAGAGAAGGTTTACATTGGCAAGTTGAACATGATACTGGTTCAGGTAAGATCTTTCCTTGTGCAACACTCCTTTTGTGCCCTTTTATATATTAATTTGTAAAGTGATCTTACGCAAGTTATAAGATACATGTTAAAACACCCTCACATTATTCTTACACTCTTAAGTTTACAATAAATATATATATAGCCTTTGGTCAGTCCACGCTAATATCTGATATCAGGTTGTTAATTTCTGACATCAGGCAGTTCACGGGCAATGTTGGCTCTGCTTATGAGACACTGATGAGAGCGGTGGTTGGTAAACAAGAAGATGCATTTTTGTTCGAATTTGGTAAAAAAAAAATCTATTTCAGGAGCTGCATTGCATCAGAATACAAGACAGACGATCCTTAAAAGAATAACGCTACGAAGCAGTCTTTAAAGAGCTCTAAACCCCGGTTTAGAGTTTGCTGCTGGAATTATGTACTCCCGAAGGCCGTCGGACCAATCGGTTGTATAAAAAAAATGCTGTTATTATAAAAAAAGTACAGAGAAAGATATGACACCTTGTCGGCTTGTCTGTTCTAATATTCCCGTAGTTTTAGCCTGGCCTTTTTGCCATGGGGGGGTGGGGGGGGAAGTGGTATGGGACAAACAAATGGACCGTTCTTTGTGCCTTCCAAATAGATCCTGAAGCAGGAGTGGCCGAAGAACTGGCCGACATTCATCAGCGACATCGTGGGTGCCAGCCGCACGTCCGAGTCGCTGTGCCAGAACAACATGGCCATCCTGAAGCTGCTGAGCGAGGAGGTGTTTGACTTCTCGAGTGGGCAGCTCACGCAGTTCAAGGCCAAGCACCTCAAGGACAGGTGAGAGACCTCTCGAGATTAAAAAAAACCATGCTGCTCCACGGTGCGTGCGTCCTTGCCGATGCCACGATGGGTTCTCGACAAGGCAAAAAGCCCGTTGGCGGTTAGAAACTGTCAAAGCATTCAACTTTGTAAATTGAAACTAAACTATTTTATTTATTTTACGATGTAAATCCCACTGAGCTGTAAAGCTCTTTTTCAGAGGCGACCTGGCCACAAATGATAGCTCGCCGAAGTGGCTTATCATGTGTACATTTATAGCAGCCAAATACTTTAAACACGTTTGTAAATGTGGGGTGGGGGGAGAACACCAGAGGACCCGCGAAAAAATTTACACGACCACGGGGAGAGAGACACGCTAACGCCAAATATACGGCAGGCGTCAGGGTCAGGCTTGAACTCGCGACCTCCTGTATACCTGGCGAGGTAGTTAACATCCCGCCGCAGCACAGTAAGGCGCCCGCTTTTGACGAGGGACAACGACTCGGAGGCATGAGGAACCATAGGCGCGCAGGAGGGCAGCGGCCCAGGCGGTGAGGCCGGCGCCAACAATTGCTCAAGCGGTCCTCTGAATATCAAGGTGTTTTCAGCCAATTAATGAGTGGTTGTTTCTTCACCAGTGGTTCTCAGCCTCTTTGGGTATGGTTTCTCCCCAGTCAAGACAATGGTGCTGGAGGCCCAGACCAGAATAGCCACATGGGGCCCCCTATTTCATTTGCAACAAAACACAGGCCCAATGTCAGTGGTGCTTAACCTGGGGTGCACGCAACCCCTGGGGGTGCGAGATGCCCTTTTTGGGGGTGTGAGCCAGATTTTCTCGAAGGTAAACCATCGAAAACACAAATAAATGATGGTCACGTAAGTACAACTACTTTGTTTCATCAAACCTATGTATTCATTAACATTCTACATGTTTAAACGATTGAAAACCAAATGGGTGCAAGGCTGCAGTGTAGGTTAAGAACCGCTGCCCAATGTGGTGCCCTCTTTTGTTCGAGGCCTAGACAAATGTATTCTGTTTGTGGCTCTTCTGACAGGGTAGTACAAGTGCCTTCTAAGCCACTTATATTCCTCTACATTATTAGTGTAAATGCTATTTAATTAGAAAATACATCTCCTTCGCCTGAAACGTTGTGACATATTCCCCTTTTTGACAAAACCGTAAGCAAATATATATTTCCTGTACGAGCGACGCGATGCTGATTGTGTGCGGTTGATGTGTCCCCAGCATGTGCAACGAGTTCTCACAAGTGTTCCAGCTCTGCCAGTTTGTCATGGTGAGTCGGTGTCAATTTTGTTCTGCTATCGCACTCTGAATTGACGTTTGAAAGTGGACTCTTTAAACAAACAAAACTAAACGTGTTTTAATCGCACTTGTGAAATAACAGCGGAGCCCTTTCAAAATTAATGTACGGTCAATACTCGTTTAGCTCTCTGCTGCCAGGGTGGAAACGAAGGGCTGGATAAAAAAAAAACACGGGCAATGGGAAACCTGTCAGTTAAGGTCTAAAATCGTTTCTTATTGATTTTGTTTAACCAGGTGACAACTCAAGAGGCCTAGTCTCATTTGCAAGCGTGTGACCCAAGTCACCGTATTGTTTACATAGAATGCAACTGACAACTCAAGCGTGTTATCTGTTTTTATTGTTGGTTAAAGTAATCGGTTTGCGGTCACTGACCCTTGATGAGTGTGAAGTATCTAATTATTGAATCAGTGCGTCGCTAACAGCTGCTAACGAGCACCTAACTCGGATAATACACTTGCGGGGCGATCGAACGTTAGCCGTGTGCTCACGAATGTGCGCACTGTTGCAAGTGCTGTTTGCCCCACGAGAACAAACATTGAAACCCCCATGCTCGCTTTTCGCTATTCCCTTGCAGGAAAACTCCCAGAATGCACCACTTGTTGCCGCCACCTTAGAGACACTTTTGCGTTTCCTGAATTGGATTCCTCTCGGGTACATCTTTGAGACGAAACTCATCAGCGTCCTCGTTTACAAGGTGAGACGAAATAAAGAGGGGGGGGGGGGCGGGGAGGGGTTTTATGGCCACCAGATGGTTTGGCATTTTAGGATTGACACCCAGAGCCTATGCTAATCCACCTGGGTGGCACTGGTAGATGCCCAAGCTCTCATAATCGCAAGGAAATGACGGTTTAAGTCCTAGTTGGTGGTCGACTAAAAACACGATCCAACCTGGGTCGATAAAATGGGTGCTGCTTTGTGGTAAGCCAAACTTTAGCTACCTTATAATTGAACAGCCGTTTGTCGCCTCTTTCAAAAAATGGAGCTGTGCACATGCAGCATGTCTCTTCCTCCCCCCGACCCCCCACGCAGCATAACAAAAGGTGGGTTTTACCCGCTCTCTTGCAGTACACCACCCCCTCCCCTCGAACCCCCTGCAGTCTATCAAAATGCTGCTTAACCCAGCCCTCCCACCCACGCCCCTAACTGACTCCTCCCCCCCCCCCCTTAACCTGTATATAATCCCGGTCGTCTCTGAACTGTGCTCCTGACACAGATTTTCTGCTGTCACTATTCCACCTGAAGACGGAAGCTTGTGTTTCCTCCGAAACGTCGTGATTTAATTGTTTTCTTTTATTTTGTTTTACTTTATCTACGTGACTTTACCGAATTAAACCAAAGAGTATGAAGCCAGCATTTGTTGCCCTATGGAGAAACTAGACCCTGACTGTAGAATTGTTTAATATCCACCACTGTTTAAGAGGTCAGAACCACCAATGGAGGTGAACATCACCTGATGCTCGTTTGAACAGGGGGAGGCGCTTAAACCTTTTGTTTCTGAGTGAATGCATTTGCACAGGGTGGTATACCTGTCAATCCATATGGTTTACCTGTATTCTTGTGCAGGGAAATTGAGTAAAAAAACACGTATTGTCTTTTTTTGTTTCTCCCTTATGATGGGACTTTGTAGGATGAATGTTGAGATTTCTAAGGGCATGGGGTGACCAACAATATCTGAATTGGTCTGTAATAAGGTAGGCACTGATAAGGGCTTGACAGATATGAGGTTGTATGCACTTGCAGCAGCTTGTTCATATGAATTGTGTTGGCAGGGGATGCTGCCGTTGTGTAACGATTAGCACACTGGACTTACAGGTCCAATCCAGAGGTCGCCAGTTCATTCACTCGGCAACTCGTGTGTGGTGGGGTGAAGTGTGGGTACTCTCACCTCTTCCAAAACATGTGGCCCGAATAACCTTTAGAGGGCCTCTCTGAAGCTCCCTCCTGCCAGCAGTGGCATCGTCAAGAAATTTCAGGGCTGCAACTTTTCCTTTTGTATACGTTGGCGCTCCTTTGTACGTATGTGTGTGCATGTTTGAACCCCTTTTGCACCGCACGTAGCCAACCGTGCTAATTGGAGGTGCACCTTCCCCCGCAGTTCCTCAACGTACCCATGTTCCGTAACGTGACGCTCAAGTGCCTGACGGAGGTGGCGGGCGTGCGGGTGAGCCAGTACGAGGAGCAGTTCGCTACCCTCTTCAGCATCACCATGGCCGAGCTCAAACAGGTGCCAGCCCCATTCACTCACAGCTGTGTCAATCCATACGTGTGTGTGTATATATAGTCGGTGTGGGGGCCAGTGGAAAAGGGGTAAAAGAAAGGCGACGTTCACACTCCTCTCCGTGTTCTCTGTCGATCATCGTCGCGGGACAGATCCTGCCACTGCAGACCAACATCCGGCTGGCGTACGCGACGGGCAAGGACGAGGAGCAGAATTTTATCCAGAACCTGAGCCTCTTCCTGTGCACCTTCCTCAAGGAGCACGGCTCGCTGGTGGAGCGCCGCGGCGACCTCCGCGAGGGGCTGCTCGAGGTGAGGACCCTACTCCCCCCCCCTCCCTTTGCTATAATAATAATACAGGGTGCTGTACATGGCAAGGCTTAGAGTGGGGTCAGTGGAGATGGGTGGAAACAAGTGCAGGGTCTACTGTACGAGGGAAGGTTCAAGAAGGGAGGTAGAAGACGATGGAGTCTGTTGGAAGAATCGACCGGGGTAAAGTGCTGGAAGTTACCGGGGCGTGGCAGAGCGCGTGTATAAGGGGGAGCGAGGCCCGCGATCGGGGCACCGGCTAGGCCTCGGCAAGGTAAGGTAAAAACAACGAGCCTACCTTTACCCTACCTTTTACCTTACCACAATACAATCACTCTACCCTACCTTTTACCCTTCAGCAGGTAAGGTAAAAGGTCAAAAGCAACGAGCCTACCTTTACCCTACCTTTTACCCTTACCCCATACAAATTACCCGATTACAGGGTAATTACTGGGGTACTACACATGAAAAAGGTTTATAACAGGTAAATGCTAGGTAGAGTGCTTTATTCATATAGCATACTCTCGATTATTCCAATTTTACACGCTTTCTTAAAACTCACTCTGTTGTCGTTATCGTTTCTTCAAATCTTGTAACTCAATTTGAACCCACTTCCCAATGTGGTTTTGACTGCGAACTTGGTATACTTATGTCATACTGATGACAATACTATATTCTATCATTAAAAAGTAAAATAAAAATATTTTTAAACATTATTTTTTATATGTTATGTTTCGGCTTGGGTCTATTTGTCCACTGTCAACTGACGTTGGCTGTAATTGGCCACGGTCCCTTACGTTATGGCAAGCTTCGGGGCCACTTCCTGGAGTCGTGGAGTTCTGCCATTACTAGTACGGTACATTTCATAAAAGCGTGTTTTTAAAAAAAGTTTTTAAAAATATTACTTATTAAATGGAGGCCACGGACTGCACCATGGAGCTTTTAGCAGTAAACAAGGCACCGTATTTACCGGGTAATACTTCGCGCTACCTTTACCCTACCGGGTAATTCTTCCGAGCTACCTTTACCCTACCCTTTACCTTACCCCTTGGCATGTCGACACCTTTACCTTTTTACCCGGTAAAAAAGGTAAATTAGCTTACCTTGCCGAGGCCTAGCACCGGCTCGGGGACTGAAGGACGACTGCAGGTGGATGACATCGGGGCCGAATGTTGGAGATCGACATCGTGGAAACCATCGGGCCAACTCTTCGAGACCTACATGGTGGAAACCATCAAGAAGGACTGTTCGAGATTGATCTAGTGGGAACCATCAAGAAGGACTGTTCAAGACCTACATGGTGGAAACCATCAAGAAGGACTGTTCGAGATTAATCTAGTGGGAACCATCAAGAAGGACTGTTCGAGACCTACATGGTGGAAACCATCAAGAAGGACTGTTCGAGATTAATCTAGTGGGAACCATCAAGAAGGACTGTTCGAGACCTACATGGTGGAAACCATCAAGAAGGACTGTTCGAGATTAATCTAGTGGGAACCATCAAGAAGGACTGTTCGAGACCTACATGGTGGAAACCATCAAGAAGGACTGTTCGAGATTGATCTAGTGGGAACCATCAAGAAGTACTGTTCGAGACCTACATGGTGGAAACCATCAAGAAGGACTGTTCGAGATTGATCTAGTGGGAACCATCAAGAAGGACTGTTCGAGACCTACATGGTGGAAACCATCAAGAAGGACTGTTCGAGATTAATCTAGTGGGAACCATCAAGAAGGACTGTTCGAGACCTACATGGTGGAAACCATCAAGAAGGACTGTTCGAGATTAATCTAGTGGGAACCATCAAGAAGGACTGTTCGAGACCTACATGGTGGAAACCATCAAGAAGGACTGTTCGAGATTAATCTAGTGGGAACCATCAAGAAGGACTGTTCGAGACCTACATGGTGGAAACCATCAAGAAGGACTGTTCGAGATTAATCTAGTGGGAACCATCAAGAAGGACTGTTCGAGACCTACATGGTGGAAACCATCAAGAAGGACTGTTCGAGATTAATCTAGTGGGAACCATCAAGAAGGACTGTTTGAGATTAATCTAGTGGGAACCATCAAGAAGGACTGTTCGAGACCTACATGGTGGAAACCATCAAGAAGGACCGTTCGAGATTTAATCTAGTGGGAACCACCGGGGCTGCAGATGGACATAGCCTTGTGAACGTGTTAGTCATACTCTTGCCTTGTAAATACGTTACTGTCAAATAAATCGTCTAGAAAATGGAACCTGCGAAAGAGCTTCTTTAAAATAATATATTTTCTTCGTTGTTGAACTTTTATTTTAAAGCTTTTATTGCAAATTAAAATATCCTGCTGTTTTGAGTTCTCCATATTTGGTATTCGTACCATTCCTAGAGAACAAGGCTGTCACTAAAGTGCTATAGGCAAGTATAGCCTGCCAAGACGCGGTGATGTTGCAAAATGGTTTATTTCGAATAAGTAATTTGCAGGTAATTTTTAACATTCGAACAGTGGCAAACCGGCACACATGGCCATACTCCTTTGTGAATAACGATCACTGCAGTCTTCGTGTACCCATTATCAGTGCCTACCTTATTACAGACCAATTCAGACCTTATTGGTCACTCTGTGCCGTTATAAATCTTAACGTTCATCCTACAAAGTCCATCACAAAGGAGAAACACAAACAATAGACAAGTAAAAAAAAAATTCCCGTATTGGAATGGCTGTACGCCGCATGGACCTGAGAACTCAATTTCCCTGTACAACAACACGGGTTAAACCGTCTGGGTTGACAGGTATGAAATACCTGCGGTACTCTAGATGAAATCGCTCGCAAATATTTGCAAACGAGACCGCCAACACGCCCGCCGTATTTGACCAGGTCGGCTGCCGGGCTCTCGCGGCGAGCTTCTGCGACAGGCCGTGGCGATCCCTCGCCCCGCGATCGTGTTGCGGCGCCGCAATGGAGCCGAGACGATAGCACCGCGACCGTGACGTTCTCGCCCCCAACGTGTAGGCCCTGCACTACATGGTGGTGATCTCGGAGGTGGAGGAGACGGAGATCTTCAAGATCTGCCTGGAGTACTGGAGCCACCTGGCGTCGGAGCTCTACCGCGAGAGCCCCTTCTCGGCCACGCCGGCGCCGCTGTTGCTCGGCAGCCCGCACCACGACGTTCCGCCCCGGCGACAGATATACCTGCCTGTCCTTTCCAAGGTGGGCGGGTTGGCGATCGATCGAGCGGGTGGGTGGGTTGGTGAGGGTGGGTTTCTGAGTAGGTGGATTGGTTGGTGAGTCTGTAGTGGTGGGGGTGGGTGAGTCAGTGGCTGGGTGGGATCGGTCAGAATAATGCAGGATGGATAGGTGGGTGTGCTGGGTGGGTAGCGGATAGTTTGCTCGTTTGGTAGATAGGTTCCTGTCGGTCACAGCATAAATTGTTTGCCACATATGGCAGCCAAAGTTTAGTCATACCGATTAAATTTGATGGCTTATGATAACCCACTCATTTCAAATGGTTATCATGTAATTCACTGCTATTGGCCACATAATGACATTGGAAAAACTCAATGTATTAATAAGTGAAAGATTGGTTGGTAGGTGGGTTGGTAGGTATGATCATAGGTCCTTTGGTGGGTTGGTAGGTAGATATACGAGACGGTGGGTGTGCTGGGAGGGTAGTGGGTGGGGGGGGCGGTAGTGCAGCAGTTAACGTGCTGCGCTATGAACCCGGCTATGATCCTGGTTCGATTCCCGCTCTCGACCAAATTGCAGTGACGATTTTCTGAACCGATCATAGGTGGCCTTCCCTAGGTCGACTCAGCTTCAAATGAGTACCTGCGTGGGTGGGTCAGTGGCTGGGTGGATCATTCGTACTTTGCCAAATCCTTTGTATGGGATTGCCGATTGCCTCTGCTCACCTTCTGGACCGTGTGGTTGGTGATGATGGTAGTGGTGCGCGCGCGTGCATCCCGGTGCTTGCACAGGTACGACTCGTCATGGTGTGCCGAATGGCCAAGCCGGAGGAGGTGCTCGTGGTGGAGAATGACCAGGGCGAGGTGGTTCGGGAATTCATGAAGGACACGGACTCCATCAGCCTCTACAAGAACATGAGGGAGACGCTCGGTAGGACGATCCCGCGCGGACCAGTCGCTTTCATTTGTTGTGCCTTGGTCGTTTCTGAAAAATAAGCTATTAGCTCAGTGGGCTTTACCTGGTAAAATAAAAAAAATTGCTTAGTTGCATTTGAATGTGATTCGCCTACTTTTCCTATACTTTGCACTTCTTTTGTATTGTTGTACATTTCTGACCCGCTTCTACTAATCGCACCTCCAATTAGCACGGTTGGCTACGTACGGTAAGAAAGAAGTTCAACATAGATACATGCTAGACATCTGTGAAAAATGAGGTTTACAGCTCATCGTATTACTCCGGTAAAAATAAAGATTCTGAAGTCAAAGAACTCTCCGTGCTCAAACGAGCATGGAGGGTGGTGTTCATAATAAAGGTTTTTGGGTTAGATCGCGTTATTTATAAATGTGTCGTAACCCTCCACCACCCGACACGGCCAATCAGCAAATAAGTGTCACGTTGACAAAAGACAATTAGTTCACTACTTTAGCCCACCGGTGTGTTGAAGAGTGAATCCACAACATTTACAGTTTGAATACGACGTTTCGCTGGTAATTACATCCAGCATCATCGGGCAATTCGCCAGAATGGTAAAGCCCTCACTTGCTCCCGGTCTTAAATAGAGCAGCAGGGTGACGTCATCATTTAACTCATCGCTATTGGTGAGTCTCAGACCATGAGCCAAGGCCAGATATTTCACTTGTCAGTACCAGTTAAGGTGGCATATCTTTAGTGGATCCAGTGGCTTTGTGTGGCCAAGAGCAGTCAATTATGTGAAATGAGTAAGGTTATTAAATAATCCACTCTTATTTATGGATTTGAGGGAGATTATGGACTTAATTCATCTCTGATCGATATTTGAACTCACGACCTCGCGATTGTCATTTTAATGCTCTGCTAAACAGCCGCTATATTAAGTGCAGTTCTGTTCACACCACCTCCTCATGCGCTATGCCGACCTTCTTTCGGTTTGTGCGAACAGCTCTTGCCTCAGCATTCTTGAAGGCCGGACGAGGCGGGGGGGATCTTTGTATTTGTGTGTGCATGGGGCCGCGAGCCATCGACACTTCACGTGGCCTCAACGTGCACCTGGCCTGGCACAGGCGCTGTGGTGATGTCACCGTCCCTTAGTGGCGAATGGCGGTTATTGGTATTGATTGGTGGGGCAGTAATGGTGAGCTCCCCTGCACTACGAATCCGGTGACCCGAGTTAGATTTCTGCTTACGGCCAAGACAAGTGATGATCGTCTGAAATGGTATTGGACCGACTCGCCCTTAAAAATGAGTACCTGGTTAGTTGTGTCAACATCACCACCGGGGAGACAAAGTCGGGTGGGTGTGGTGCTGGCCACCCACCGCTTTATGTGCCGTGCCGACCTTCACAGGCACTGCTCGCTAAGCACTTTCCCCAACAGTTTGTCTAAGGCTGTACGGGGGGGGGTTGTTTGTTTGCTTGCGGGTGCAGTGTACCTGACGCATCTGGACTACACCGACACGGAGCGCATCATGACGGAGAAGCTGCAGGCCCAGGTGAGCGGCGTCGAGTGGTCGTGGAAGAACCTCAACACGCTTTGCTGGGCCATCGGATCCATCAGCGGCGCCATGCACGAGGAGGATGAGAAGCGCTTCCTCGTCACCGTCATCAAGGTGCGCTCTGTCGGACGAAGGCTGACGGTGCTAATGAGAAAAAAAAAGTGCTAATGCAATGCGCTCCGTCTGTGTCTGCATCTCCGTCCGTGTCCTCCGTCTGTCTGTCCGTAACAGGGTTCAAGATAACTTCTTGTAGAGGTGATCCAGTATCTTTGGAACGTTGAGTAGGGTTCGACGTCTTCATCTCTCTTTCCAGCTGTGGTTGTGAACGCGTGAATGCGTTTGCGCTGTGTTTCTGCCTCTACGGGACCTTTTTTTGCCATTATCGAAATGATGAAAGAAGAAGAATAGCCTTTTTACCCTTTGTGGCAATAAAACAGCCGTTAAGATGTCGAATATTGGTGAGAGCACGCAAAAAGGCGTTTTCTGGTCTAACTCACACTGGTGAGACTAGGCAATAAAAAAAGGCTGTCTCTGGTGTAGGACAATCAGTTTCAAGGACAATGCATATATTATCAGAGAATGTTTGTTTGCATGTTTTGCCACAAGTATGCGTGGTTAATGTAGACTTGATGCCTTGCAATAGGTATCTGTTTGGTGTTTGAACATCTTAACACCTATATTCTTAGTTTTTTCGGTAAAGTCACGTTGAAGAGAAACAACAAAATAACAAAATATATATAAAACAATAAAAAATTCTCACGACGTTTCGACCATAACTCAAACGGTCATCATCAGGTGTGTCGGTTTGCATAAATTTATTTTGAAAACGGCATATTTATTTATATATATAAAATAGATGGACTAGTCCTGGCAAACTGCCATCGTTGCGCGTGACGCAAACGTTATTTTTATATATATAAATAAATATGCCGTTTTCAAAATAAATTTATGCAAACCGACACACCTGATGATGACCGTTTGAGTTATGGTCGAAACGTCGTGAGAATTTTTTATTGTTTTATATATATTTTGTTATTTTGTTGTTTCTCTTCAACGTGACTTTACCGAAAAAACTAAGAATATGAATTACTGCAGTCACGAAAGCTTTAAATCAAAATCTTAACACCTGTTTTATTGCCAGAATAGGTAAACGCCTATTCTTAATTTTTCTGCCCGTCCGTGTGTCTCTGTGTCGCAAACACGATCGCTCTCTTTAAGATGATCCGACGTGAACAGAATGTTCATACGCTAAACCCCAGGCTAGCCGGATTTCACATTTCGTCCACGGGAGATGATGCCGGCTAAAGAATCAAATAATTCTGCGTCGCCCCCACAGCCGTCTGGAGCATGTGGCATGAGTCCAGGGCCGCCCCCCCTCACACCGTGTTTGCGTGTGGTTCTTCTTCTGTCATGTGGCATGGTCAGGGAAGGGCAGTGTGGGCAAAAGAAACAGTTTTTGCTACGTGTCCTCGTTGAATTTCAAGATCCTCCCAACATTCTGTGGTAGCTGAGTTGGTGCTCATCTTTGAATTCCGAGCTCCGCAATGTGCTCTCTCGCCCGCTCTCCTCTGCAGCACCTTTCATTCACTCACTTCCTGCCGTCTGTTGTGCTCCTTTGTGCCGTGTTAGCGGTGAGGGGTTTATTAGTGGGTTTTTTTTTTCCCCCCCCCCACTTTGCTTTTAGGTTAATTGTTTTTTTTTATTTTGTCCCTTTTAGCGTTTTTTGTGTTTTTGGTTAATTGATTTTTTTTAACTTCGCTTTTGCTTTGGAGGGGTCGACACACTGCAATGGTGAGTACTGTATAAAACTATACCACAACGGAGTATGCAATAAGCACAGCACTGCAGTATCTTACGATCATTATTTTACAATTTATATAGCCATTACGGTGGAATAAATGAATGCAAAATGAATTGTAATCAATTTCAGACGTGCGTTTTTTTTATGTTGGCTATAATGTACATGCTTATTAGCAAAGTATTACATAGCTCTTTATTTGGCGTACTAACCAGCCGGACTTTTCAGCTTGCCAGACCAATGCTCCCCCCCCCTCCCCCCCCCATTAGTCCGGCTAGCCGGGTGTTTACTGCATCAAGTAATTTTCTATGCGGGGCTTGCCCAATAAGGGTTGCCCTAAACTTAATGAAAACCCAAAAAAAAACCCATGGCTAGATAGTTAAGCCTTCTCGGCCAATGTCGATGACATCACACGCCACGTGAGTGCCTCGCTTTCCCCTCCATTCCCCGCCCTCATTTTCTCTACTCGTTAACCTTTGTGTGGGCCCCCCCCCCCCCTCACCTCGTTAGGACCTGCTGGGGCTGTGTGAGCAGAAGCGCGGCAAAGACAACAAGGCCATCGTGGCCTCCAACATCATGTACGTCGTGGGGCAGTACCCCCGCTTCTTACGCGCCCACTGGAAGTTCCTCAAGACCGTCGTCAACAAGCTCTTTGAGTTCATGCACGGTGAGCGCAGCGTTATTTTACCGTGCTTGTACGTACGTACATATGTTAAACTTCTTTCACACCGTACGCAGCCAACCGCGCTAATTGGAGGTGCGGGGGGAAGGACGACAAAACTAAACGCAAAAAGGCAGTTTGTAGCGATGCATTGAGGCCTCAATTACAATTTTATAATTCTTACGCTTGTCACGAATCGTGCTTCTACGAAACCAAGTTTATTCAGGCGCTTCCTCATTTGCGTTCTCATTCACTCCCTCACTTATTCACGCGTGAGTTCACCTACTCGTTCATCCAATCGCTTGCTCCCGCGTTCGCTTGTTCGTTTGCTCGTGCTCTCGTGCATTCGCTCGTTTTATATGTACGTATGTTGAACTTCTTGTGCACCGTACGTAGCCAATCGTGCTAATCGCACACGCATTCTCTCACTTGCTCGCTCGCTCATACGCTCGCCCGCCTAGTCACTCGTTCGCTCGCTCGCCCTTTGCAGAGACGCACGACGGCGTGCAGGACATGGCGTGCGACACGTTTATCAAAATTGCGCAGAAGTGCCGCCGCCACTTCGTGCAGGTGCAAGCCGGGGAGGTGATGCCCTTCATCGACGAGATCCTCAACGGCATCAACACCATCATCTGCGACCTGCAGCCGCAGCAGGTGCTGACGGGGCTCGGGGGAAGGAGCCGGGTGGGGGTTAGGGGAAAGTGACGCTCCTGGAGTTGTGGCCCCACTTGGCTCATTTTCACCAAGCTCGCAAGTTCAAATCCTGGCTGGGGGTTGACTCAGCCCATCGTACGTCCAAATTCCCTTAAATGAGAGTACCACTTTATAGTGAAGTCAGCGGCGGTCGCCCTCTGGTTAGGCTCACCCTCCATCATAGGAATGCTCTTAACAAGAGATGAGCAGTACTTCAGTGCCAATTTTATGCGGAAAATTACTTTGTCTTCATGGGGTAGCTGTAGGATAGCGGGTGAGCGCATTGCGTTCAAACCCGTCAACCCCGAGTTCAGTTCCCGCTCACAGCCAACACCCGTGACGATTATCTGAACTGGTCTTGTGCCTCCCTAAGTCGACTCAGCCTCAAATGAGTACCTGGTGTGGTGTGTAAGCATCGCCACCAGGTAGACAAAGGCGGCCGGGAGTGGTGCTGGTCACCGACCCCGTCGTGTGCTGTTTCGGCCTTCATAGTTGCTCGCTAACAGCACTTGCACCCAGAAGTCTGTTGAGGCTATACAGGGGATCTTTGTTCTTACGTGTGTGTGTATGTGCGTGCAGGTGCACACCTTCTACGAGGCGGTGGGATACATGATAGGTGCCCAGACTGACCAGGTGCTGCAGGAGAGGCTCATTGAGAAGTATATGCTGCTTCCCAACCAAGTGTGGGACAGCATCATTCACCAGGCCACCAAGGTGAGATCATCGACCACACCGGATCCCACCGCGGCACCCGTGCCAACAGGGGTTTTACATCGAGGTTGCGTGGAGTAGACCACATAATCCATGGGCACAGACCAAATATTTTACTTGATGGTACCATCTGAGATGGCGAAACTTTAGTTATACAGACATTTATTGTCCACCTCTGGGTGGAGCTCCTTGCTGCGGTGTAAATGCGATAGCAGTATGAAGTAATCATGCTGTGTTGTCCGACTCTGCGTGTGCTTAAGAAGCTCCCGGCACAGACACAATGCTAAAAAAAACGCCCGGCACAACCTGAAATCACATCGGAGAGACTCGGTGCCCTTGCCCAGAGGGCCCGAGTTTACACCCAGGGGGCTTCGTGCGAACGTTACGACGTCCCATCCAAGCTGTGTCACCGCCTGACCTCCCTCCCTCCCTCCCTCCCTCCCTCCTTCCCTCCCTCCCAGAACGTCGACATCCTGAAGGACGCGGAGACCGTGAAGCAGCTGGGTAACATCCTCAAGACGAACGTGCGAGCGTGTCGCGCCGTGGGCCACCCCTTCGTGGTGCAGCTGGGCCGCGTCTACCTGGACATGCTCAACGTCTACAAGTGCCTGAGCGAGAACATCTCCACCGCCGTGCAGGCCAACGGTAACTTCTATAAAACTACTCAACTATTTTTTTTTTTATTTAGCCAGGTAATGCCCCCCCCCCACTGAGCTCTTTCTTAGAAGCGACCTGGCTATCAAATGATAGCTCAAGAAAAAGTGGCTTATCATCATCACGTGGACATTCCTAGCGGCCAAATACTCTTAAGCGCGCGTTGAATCTAAATGTGTGCTAGGGAAAAACCGGAGGAGCCGGAGGAAAAGCCCACACGACCACAGGGAGAGAGAGAGAGAGAGACGCACAAACTCGAAATAAACGGCAGGCGTCCGGGTCGGGATCAGGCGAGGGAGTTAGAATCTCGCCACGATAACGGCACCCTCCCGTCCGCCCACCCGCCCCCGGCGAGTCTCCGTCGCATTCCGCCGATGCTTAGCTCATCTGCATTGGTGTGGGGAGGGGGGGGGGGTGTTTTCTTTGACATGTTGTTTAGGATTACGAAGCATATTTGTGGAATTTGTCAAATAAACCTGGATGCTGCTGCGCCTGATCTCATTGGATCTCGGAAGCTCAGCAGGTTTGAGCCTGGACAATGCTTGCATGGGCAACCATGTTGCTCGACAGAATTTGTAGGTTTGCTGCGAGCCTGCTTTGTCAGTACCAGAGGCCATTGCAGCAGAATAAGTTGTTGCATTGTATTTATATACCCCCCACATATATGCTCCTCACCTTCACTAACCCACGCTGACAAGCATGTGGTCAACTATGGTCAAACCTCATTAAGTAACCTCGTGATCAGCGCTTCTAAGTGGGAGGCGTTTGTGTAAGTTTCGTCATGATAGAGGGGCAAATGTGAATCTTGCTTGCCTCCTCAACTCTGCCTGTCTCCGTCATCTCCTCTCCGTACCCGGTGGCAGGAGAGATCGTAACGAAGCAACCACTGATTCGCAGCATGCGCACCGTCAAGAAGGAGACGCTGAAGCTCATTTCCGACTGGGTCAGCCGCTCCACCGACCCCAAGATGGTGCGGCCCGGGTCCATCGCCCACCCCTCTCTCCCCTCTTTACCCCCACTGTGTTCATGTCCGTGTCGTTCGTCTGGCAGCAGTTGTTGATTTCACGGCGTTCATCACAATCCATCCAGGATCTTTCGGAATACCCATAGTTTGCTCACACTACCTCCGATTAGCACGGTTGTCTATGTACGATGCGAAAGAAGTTCAACGTACTTACACAGTAAATGAGTGGACGGCAATGATTTCTGGCAACAATTGCCCTACAATTGCCCTCGTGCAACGGTCCCCAACCGTTCTGGACTCAAAGGCCACACGGTCAACTTTTAACTTTTTGGTTTCAATGAACCACCATGCACCAATTAGGAAGCCACTGGAGCAATGCATTTTTCTATCTAGATTGAAAACGAATTTTTTTAGAATTGATTTTTTTGTTGTCCTTCGCCCGCACCTCCGATTAGCACGGTTGTCTACATACGGTACGAAAGAAGTTCAACAGATGTATATACAATAGCGGATATATATATTTAAACCTACTCTAACTCGTAAGATCTACAACGGTGTTCAGCCTTTGCAGACCACTAGACCACACCGGTTGTCCGTCGGCCACAAGTTGGGAACCCCCCACTGCCCTAGTTGCGTCATCGCGACCGTAGCGACACAGCCTGCCCGCGGACTTGCGCGCAACCCTAGCGGCACGGCAGTCTCTCCGCGTGCATCCCGTGCAGGTATGGGGAGCAATACTGTAGCAGTTAGCGCACTGCGCTACAAACCCGGCGACCCGAGTTCATGATTCCCGCTCACGGCCAACACCAGTGACGATTCCCGCTCATGGCCAACACCAGTGACAATTATCTCTGCACCGGTCCTGGGATTCCCCTTGGTCGACTCAGCCTCAATTCGTACCTGGCGTGGTTGTGTAAGCATCGCCACTGGGGGAGACAAAGGGCGTGGTGCTGGCCATCCCGCCCCCTCGTGCCGTGTCGGCCTTTACAGGTGCTGCTCGCTGACAGCGCTTGCCTTTGTCTCTGTTTTGTCCCTCGCAGGTGGCCGAGAACTTTGTGCCGCCCCTGCTCGACGCCGTGCTGCTGGACTACCAGCGCAACGTGGCGGCGGCGCGCGAGCCGGAGGTGCTGGCCACCATGGCGACGGTGGTGAACCGCCTGGAGAGCCACATCACCGCCGAGATCCCACACATCTTCGACGCCGTCTTCGAGTGCACGCTCGAAATGATCAACAAGGCACGCGGTGGTCACGGCGGCAGTCACGGGGGCGGTGCAGGCGGCCCGCGGCCTTCCCCCTGTTTGCGTCAGTGCTGTCCTCCTTGTCTGTCCCTCCCTATCGATGTCTCTCGATCCGTCTGTTTGTTATGTGCGTGTGTCCATCTCTCTACTTTTTTCTGTCCCTCCCTCGCTGTCTTTTGTACTCTGTCCATCTGTTCTGTGCGTGTCTGTGTTATCTTTCTGTATCTGTATGTCCGTCCGCCTCTTTGTCCCTCGGTGTCTTTGCGTGTTTGCTCTCGCTGTGAATTTTAATTTGTTCCGTTCGCGCTTCCTGTCTGTCTGTCTCTTCGTCTTTGTCTTGTTCTCTGTGTCTGTTTCCTCTTTCTTTTAATCTGATCATATTCTCTTTATGTGGCTTTCTGTCTGTCCATTTTTCCCACCGTCTTTCTGCCTGTCCACACTTTGTTCTCTGTGTCTGCCTGGCTACCTTTTTGCTCCTCGGTGTGCCTGTATTTTCATCTGCGGAGCGCTAGTGTAGCGGCTAGTGCACTATACTTACTTGCCGGTCACGGCTAATAACAGTGGCGAATATCCGAACTTGCTCGACTCGGGCCCCTAACCGAGTGCCTGGCACGGTGTGTAAACACCAGCACTGGGGAGATACATTTCTCAAAGTGTGTTCCGGGCCACACCACTCGTGCGCCGCGCCCGGTCTGCATGGGTGCTCGCTACGAGCACTTGCCCCAACAACTCACACGTAGGCCGTATGGGGGAGTTTTGTCTTTCCACACATATGTCTGTGCTTACGCGCGTGTGCGCACTTGCCCCAACAGTCTATTAAGACTATACGGGGGACATTTTTCTTTGTGTGCGTTGGTACAGTAGGGGGCACAGGTGGTGCATTTGCCAGTCATCTCAGTCAGTCAACCAATTGCACCTGAGTGTGTCCCGTGGCCTGCCAGCGGGCGTTCGACACTTCACGTGGCCTCAAAGTGCACATAGCCTGGCACAAGCGCCGTGGTGACGTCACCGCTAATTAGTGGTGAATGGCGGTTGTTGTTGTTGTTGTGTGCGTTCACAGGACTTTGAGGAACACCCCGAGCACCGCACCAACTTCTTCCTGCTGCTGCAGGCCGTCAACACGCACTGCTTCCCGGCATTCCTGGCCATCCCTCCCGCGCAGTTCAAGCTGCTCCTCGACGCCACCATCTGGGCCTTCAAGCACACGATGCGCAACGTCGCCGACACGGGTAAGCCACCCGCCCGCCTGCTTGCCCGCGTGACTCTGCAACTGTCTGCGTATTTTGCGTGTCCCTGTCGTTTGCCTGTGTGTCCGTGCGACTGCATCTCGGCCTGTGTTTCTCTAATATCCAAACTGTGCGGCTACCTGTGTGGATTTATCACTGCCTGTACGTGTGTTTGCCTGCCAGTCTGAATTGCCTTGCCCCCCACCCAGTTGTCTGCCCCACCTCCCCAAATTCCTGCGCGTCGATACCACCCACCGATGTCTGTGCCGAGTAGGGGACCTGTGGCTGTGTCTGCACTTGCAGGTCTTTCCATCCTGTTGGCACTGCTGCAGAATGTGAGTCAGGAAGGGGCGGCCGCACAGAGCTTCTACCAGACGTACTTCTGTGACATCCTGCAGCACATCTTCTCGGTAGTCACGGACACCTCGCACACCGCAGGTACCCTTCCGCCCGTCCACCCACCCAAACCCAACCACCCAGCTATGGACCATACCCACTATACTCAGCCACCCTCTGAACAACCATGACCACCCACCCACAATACCCACACCCAAAGCATACTCGCCCGTCCATATCTCACCACCATACTCGCCTCCTGCACCCACCATACCGACTCAAACCATCCCACCAACCCGTACAACAATCCAACCATTGTCCTCACCCACCCAACCACCCACCGTGGTTGTCACCTGTGCCACGGTTGTCCCCGCGGTGCAGGCCTGACGATGCATGCCACGATCCTGGCGTACATGTTCAGCCTGGCGGAGGAAGGCCGCGTCACGGTGCCGCTCAACCCCGCGATGCCCGCCTCCAATAACGTGCCCTTCGTGCAGGAGTACATCGCCAACCTGCTCAAGTCGGCCTTCCCACACCTGCAAGAGTAAGGCAGCCTCTCTCCTCCTCACCACACGCGCGCGTGTAATATTGTGTCCTCGATTATAAGATGCGCTTTGAAAAATATATACATGCGGCCCTCGATTTACGAAAACCCAACTTATGAGCACCCAACTTACGAACACCCGTACTTAAGAACCTGCTTCCATTATATATATATTTTTAGAAAACTTGACTTAAAATGCAAACTCGCACTTGCAAACTATTTTGTTCTGCGAGGTGATCTTCCGCCTCATGTAATGAGTCAACCTCTCCTCGCGCTGGGAGTGAGCGTGCGCGCGCGCGCATGCACGCGTGTCTGCGTGTGTTAAAGTGACTTTTAAGAATGGGTCTCAGGAACGAATTATGTTCATAAGCCGAGGACTGAACATATAAGTGTAATGTAACGACTCTGGAGACATAAACTGTCGAGGCTTCTCCTTTCTTTCCTCACACGACTACGACTCGGTGGCACGGAATATAACGCTGAGAGTCTAGCTACGACGGTGCTGACTTGACTAGATAGCTGGCGGCGACGACGAAGACGAAGCCATGACAAAGGCGGCGACAGTGACGACGACCAGGACTCCGACCCCCACAACAGCCCAGAACCCGCTCCCTCATATCCTCCCAGCTGGCCGTGGCTCCGCCCTGGCCACGCCCCCTTTCTCGAACTCTCAAGCTGGTTCTGGGAACTCCCAGATGGATCCCCTCTCTGACCCTTGGCCCAGATATTCCCCCTTGTGGTCGCTCCCGTGTATCTGTCTTTCTGCCCATACTGTTCTCACACCCGGAATTACCACTTCTGGCCACTAGTCGGCGCGCTGTCTCAACATGTTTCAAAGCCAAAGTTGGGAGTGCATCTTATAATATGGCATCTGGCCTGAAATTTGGCATCTGGGCATACTTAGAATTGTGCTCAGCGTCCAATTTATACATAGCCACGCCGCGGTGAACGCGGGAAGTTGGGTCATTGTTGGGCCAACGTTGGTCCAACATCGCATGTTTACTGGGTCAGTGTCCATGCCACTCAGTCGATGTGCCACTCATCTACACGTCACTCTGTCTACACGGAGCCACTTGGTGGACATGACACTCGGTCTACATGTCAGTCTGCTGGTATTAGCCAAACCATCCCCTCATGTACTCTACTATCCTTAATATTGTATCGCTTGTAGCATTTGCTGCAAAAGAGCCTGTATTCAGGGGTACCTTTGTCTTTGTTGTCTGCGTGTTTGCGCAGTGCACAGGTGAAGCTGTTTGTCACGGGGCTGTTCAGCCTGAACCACGACATCCCGGCCTTCAAAGAGCACCTGCGTGACTTCCTCGTGCAGATCAAGGTAGCACAGCGTCGGGGCAAAAAATTACACTGGACAAAACACAATCGGTGCTGTTCACGCGGTCACGGTCAAATCGCCCAAGTAAATAACTGCGGCGTTAATTTGTATACGTCGTCGGTATCAGCTTGCAGGAATTTTGGTCCATTATTATGGTATTGGCTACAACAGAAATGTTCCTATTCATAACCATTATCAATTCCATCTGAGCATGGGAACCATGCAGAGAGAGCTTTGAGACGGGGGCACTTAAAAGTTATTTTGCACCGCACGTAGCCGACTAAACTAATCGGAGGTGCACTCTTGATCACGGTCGACGATGACGAATCTGAATCGTGAATGACACACCGTGCCTTCCCACCGCCGCCCTCCGCCCTCCCAGGAGTTTGCCGGGGAGGACACGAGCGACCTGTACCTGGAGGAACGCGAGTCATCGCTGCGGCAAGCGAACGAGGAGAAGAGGAAGGTGCAGATGTCGGTGCCGGGCATCCTGAACCCGCACGAGATCGGGGACGACATGTGCGACTGACGCGCCCGATCACCCCCGCCCGTCCCCGTGTCCGTCCATTTACCCAGACCGCACGGCGAACCCGGCCCCAGTAAATTCACACTGGACACAAAAATCTACGCTTCCAGGTGACCGCGACGGGACGAGAGGATGGCGTCGCGAGGCCGTGCGTTTAACGCGTTTAGTTTATTGTGCTCGGCGTAGTTTTTTTTCTCTCTCCGACGAGAGCGCGAAGGTGTCGAGTGAGTTTTCTGTTTTCTTCGCCGCCCCCCCCCCCCCCCGGACTCCCCTTTTATATAAATGTGCGCGAGAGCGGCCTCCTGTTTTATTTAAACGTTGGGCGATTTGTTTTTCGTTTTTAACACGTGACCCGAGGGACGGTTTCACTCTAACGGTGTGCGCGCGCGATTAACGGTACCGGCCCTTTCCCGCACCTCCGATTAGCACGGTCGGCTACGTACAGCGCGAAAGAAGTTTAACATACATACATACAGCCGGTGCCAAGTGACGGCTCTGTTGGTACAGATACACCTGCAATGTAATCTGCCAATGTCATAACATTTAGAACTGTCCTAACATGTATAACTGCACCCACACACCATTGTACTGAAGTCTGGGAGTCAAGATACCCACTCGCACACGCCCTCCACTGACAATTTTATGGAAAAATATGAACTTTTAAGTGATATGAGAAATGCTGCCATGGTGTAATGAATGGCTGGCTCGCTGGACTTTACACGCAGTGGTCACCAGTTCGATCTCCAGGTGTGATAGTTAAAACATTTGGGCAAGTTGTGTAAATCTTTCCTGCCCCCCCACCTCTCCCCTCCCCCCCGGCTTCTGCCCACCTAGCAGTATAATTGGGTATACCACAGTTAGTCATGGGAAGGTCGTGTGATGGGGTACTTACAACCTCTTCCAAGACGCCTGACCAGCGTGGGAGAGTAGACCAAACATAACTTCTATAAATGGATTCTCAAGCTCCCTTTAGTGGAGGACCTTCTGAACAACAGTGGCATTGAGGAAGCAATTGCAGGGTTGCACCTTGATCTATTTTAAATGTTAAAACACCAACTGGTACTCCCGCAAATAACAGTACAGTAAATCCTCATTTAACGCGGTAGTAGATGCGCTCCTGAAAAGTGCTGCGTTAAGCGAAAACAATTTCCCCATAAATTAATGTAAGGGTAATGTTTGGCGTGATACGATGTACTACGCACAAACAGCGAGATGGCGGGACAAAGGAGCTGAGGGTAACGCAGCCGCATTACTGTATCACTCCGCGTACTTTTATCGTTACCGGTAAGCCGCGCAGCTCAAGAAAGTAGTTTATTGTTGACCGCTGGAAACCGTGTTACAACGGTGCGCATTCTACGCTTGTGCGAAAATTGTTCCACGTAACGGAAGAAAAACACGTTTTCGTGAACACCACGTGTGAAGCAAGGACTTTTACCCTACAATGGTTATTTCCCCCTTCTAAGTGCAACCGTCTTGTCCCATTGTGCCCGCCGCCACGATCAAATCCCGGGCTCGTCAATTCAGGTGACGCTGGAGGAGCACGTTTTCACCGTTGCTCTTGGAGATTGGTGTTGTTTTCCACTTGACCGTTCTCGGCATTTTACGAGAACGGGTCGCTGCTCTTAAACTCGCCTGGCGGTCTGTTACGTTGCAGGGAGTTGCTGTAAATGAACTACAGGATTTACCATCGCCTGTTTGTCCACTCTGTGCTACGTTTGTTGAAAGGTCACAGGTCAGGTCGTGACCACCGCCACGGCATCTGAATTGTGGTGGCATTTTAGGCAAAAGCTTTCGTTCGGTTTGCATGGATCTGTGAGTGATTCAACCCGTTTTCCTGACGCAACAAAATCTGCCTTGATTCAGAATCTAATATCTCACTTTCCCCACCCCCATCCCGTGCTGACATCTCCATTACATTGCCATTATCAAACAATTGTTTAAACCGTCCGGTTCCAAACCGTCACTTCCGTATCAGGATTATTCAGCCACTGCAGGGTCTTTGATTGCGAATGAACAAAAAGCGGGTACACTTTTATGTTGGAGAATGTGGATCATGACAACAACAGCAAATGGTCTTGGCCCAAGATTAGAACCACAGGGCATTCAAGAGCCACTGTGGGGCTTTGTAAATTCCCTGCAGACCTCACCAGCCAGCTGTGATAGGAAATCAAAATCCTCCAATCCTTTGGAGTTGTCCAGTGCGCCGAGCCCCCCTTACTGTAAAACCCAGCTGTGTGTCAGCCAGCAATGGGTGTGCGTTAGGGCACAGCCGCTATGTGTCAGCCTGCAGTGGGTGTGTGTTAGGGCACAGCTGTTGTGTGTAAGCCAGCAGTGGATGTGTGTTAGGGCACAGCAGCTGTGTGTGTAAGCCAGCAGTGGATGTGTGTCAGTGAGCTGTGGGTGTGTGTTAGGGTACAGAAGCAGTGTGTCAGCCTGCAGTGAGTGTGTGTTAGGGCACAGCAGCTGTGTGTAAGCCAGCAGTGGATGTGTGTTAGGGGACAGCAGTTGTGTGTCAGTGAGCAGTTGGTGTGTGTTAGGGGACAGCAGTTGTGTGTCAGTGAGCAGTGGATGTGTGTTAGGGCACGGCAGCTGTGTGTCAGTGAGCAGTGGGTGTGTGTTAGGGGTACAGCAGTAGCCAGATTCGTCTCTAATCCATCTCCTGGTTGTTTTTTTAATACACTGTAGTGCCCTGACAGGTTATCCCGTAATTACAGCCATGCCATGCCCTTAACAGTTTTGTCAGAAACTTAAAGCTGCCCTACATGTATCTAGTTTATACTGACAGTGTCATTAGCGAGCACCTATTAACAGTGGAATGAGTGCACGAATTTTGTGGTGGAAACAGCATTGTTCATTCGAGTGCCGGTGCTGACCACAACGTGTATGCGTGTGTGTGCTTGTTGAACTTCTTTCGCACTGTACATAGCCAACTGCTAATCGGAGGTGCGGGGGGAAGGACAACAAACTAAATTTAAAAAAGTAGAAATAAATTAGTTTTCGATGTAGATTTAAAAGTGCATAGCTCCAGTGGCTTCCGAATATCAGAAGGAAGATCGTTCCAGACAGCTGCAGAAGCGCATCTGAAAGGACGCGATGCAGTGACCGTCATTGTTCAATGGCCAGCCAAAAGCCGCTGCTGCTTGCCAGGTGGTCGTCATCCATAATTATCGGTGACCTGGGAGGGGGCAAGGCCAACCCATTCCCAGAAGGTCATGACTTGTGATTAAACGTGGCGCTTGGTGTCACGTGTGAATCTCCCTACTGCTACTGCCTTAACCCCCCGTACGTGACCAACAGAGCCCAGGTTTTGTAGTAGGCTCGTGTTGTGTGAATTTGGTGTACCCGGCGAAATCCTCGTGATTTTTCTTTCTCCAAGTCGGGGACCACCCGTCAAACTCGCCCGTCCTGCTTTCTGACAAAACAAAATAAGTGTCAACCAATTGCGGTGTACCTGGATATACGGCTTGGCGCGTTCATGATGGCAACGTTAGGAGGCCTCGAGCCAGCAGCGCTGAGATTCCTGGGTTCAAATCCGGGCACCTGTGATTCAACCCTGTTTTCGCGGCACAGTCACTAAAGACCGCACGACAAAAACGATTACAACAAAAACGAGCGATTTAATAAACATAAAAACGTCGCAGCGACACGTATTGTAATGGGAGCAGAAGAATGGAAAACGACTTGCACGCTCCGGAAACACGAGTGCCCTGCAGTTTTAAGTTGCCGCGGTGAGATCGCTTTCTGGAAGAGACACCGGAAGTGGTTGTGATGAGTGCCCCCTTCTCTCCGGGGCGTCCTTTCGACCAAATTTTCGCAAGAGGGGACCGTGTGCCGTCTTCTGCAGCAAGTTTTGCCGTAAGGACATTCCTTTGCTTCGTGCCTTGGCGCCAAACGTACAATCGGGATGTTATATTTATGGAATTCTCCCCCCCCACCACGTACTGTATATACTTCTGACAGATTCAATTGATAGTATTTTGACAACCGTGGTGCAGAAACAAAACACTTGTACTCTGACATTACCAAAGTTATTAATTTCTCTAGTTTTCGGGTTGGACATTAGCACGTTGATTCTGGTGTTGGTGGTGGTTGTTTTGAGTGAAAGTGAGCTGTGTTGTTGATGAGGATCTAGGGGGTTAGTGCTGTGTGTGCATAGTGGTCACCGTCGCAGTGACCACATGACTTAGAAGCAGCCGTTTGGTAGAGCCAGGTTTGAACACAAGCACCTGCCAAGCCCTACTCCCATAGAATCCCACTTCGTCAGTTGTTTAAATGGGCACCACACCAGCTGTGAACAGAGATCCCCACTTCAATTGTAACCCAACCCAGACACCACTCCTCGTGTGAGCTAAATGGGCACAGCCTCTTGTCAGCCAACACTGGGCTTGTACGGTTTTAAAATGTATTTCCTATACGCGTGGTGCTACAAGAGCCCTAAATTAAATGTGTACTTTGTCATGAAGTCTTATAGGATGTGTCTAAAGTAATTTGGAGAAATTTCAGTTTTGTTTGCTTGGATGCCCGTGCGGACTCGGCAGCGATTTGATATTTCTGTGAAGAATGAACGAGCGCTCTTGAATTAAATAAAACGTGCCCTCTTTCTGCAAGTTATAAACAACTCAGGTGTACCGTTCGAAAACTCACGCGACTGTTGCTGTGGAGTTTTGCAGATGACTTTGACGACATGACTGTCCACAAATGACTTTGACCACAAATCGATCAAAATATATATTGTTTGGTCGTTCTTTTTGAAGGCACAAGCATCGTAATATATCCAAAACGTAGACTGGTGTAGGGCCGACGAAGTAGACATTACAACAAAACACCTGTATTCGTTCTGTGCACTGGCGGTGCCAGTGTGGGGGGGGGGGGGGGCGGTGGGGTGGCACGTTGCCCCCCCCAATGATCCGATCGAAATCCCAATTTCGATCGGATCATTGGGGTTTATTTGTAATAAATGGGCATTTTGCGACCCCCCCCCCACTGCCACTGTGTAGCAGATTATTATGTACCAGGGACTCTATGACATGATAATTGGCAATAAGTAACAGCAAAGCAGTTATAAGTGACTCACAATTGTGCGCAGTTGCGTATACAGCACGCGACTTCCCTGAAGACATGCCTTCAGCGAGCGCGATGCCGATCACACACGGTTCAAATTCGACCCCTCGATCGATGGATGTGCCATCGCCGCACACGCGCATCGAATAAAAAGCAAGGGACAAATCCTTCCTCATGGGTTGCCCCCCCCCCCCCCACCTGAAAATTCTGGCTCCGCCATTGGTTCTGTTTCCCAGATGACCCAAAGATCTCTTATGTGGACAGGAACCATTATGGTAATTTAAAACTAATATAATCATAATAATAATAACCTGGAACAGAGAAACAACCACAGTGGTGTATATGTCCCTAACGTGTTCCCTCTTAACCCCCTTCTGCATCAGTCTCAAGAATTTTACCCCAAGATTTCCTTTGCTGTGTGCAATGCAACGGTAATCTTTTCACCCTGTACAGCGGTCGATTTATGAGTGATTAAGCTACACATTCTATTTAAATTGAATATTAAATTCGTGTATAGTAGTTTGTTTCCTTTCACCTATTTACGGCTGTATATTGCTGGAGAATTCGTTTACACGAAGCAGGCTGTCATCGTTTTGAGTTTGTGGCCGGTGTGTGTGTGTGTGGTTGTGTTGCGGTGGGTTATGGTGTTTGTTCCACATCTCTCTTGCCGGGTCCCCCGTGCCAATTTTCCCCCGCAACAGATCTCCGATGCCCGGCCTTTTTAAGC